TATCTGAATTTCTCATGTAGCATGAATTTATGGCAGAAAGTGTAATTTGTTGGGTTACACATAGATTCTTTTATAGACAATTCATAATACTAAATAAAACTCATTATCCAGAATAAGAGAGTAAATAACAGTAAGTGATTGCCAGAGTGTATTGAGGGTTTTTTATGTGCCAAGCCCTGTTCTTAGATCTCTGTATGTGTTCATTTATACCTCATGTGAAGATGAGAGACTAGTTCCAAATTGTATTATCTAGATGGGTAGAACTGGTATTAGAACTAACTTTTGTCTTCTTAACTCATGCTTTGTTATGCAAGCCCCACCCCCTAATTTGAATGCCATTTCCCTGATATCTGCATAGGTTATCAATTGTGAAATGTACTAATATACATAACTGATGTTATTTCATCTTTGTAGCACTCTTTGAAACAGTGTTTTACAGATGAGTAAACTGTGTAACACATGTGGGAAGTGATGAGCCTGGACTGAAATTCTTTTCTTTTCCTCCAAATTCTGTATATTTGCACCATGCCATTATTTTCAGCAAACAGAGGAAAGCAAATTCTGAGTTTCTTGAAGTGGTCGAAGTACTTTATTTTTTCCCCTTTCATTTAAAGCACATGTGGCATACATGTATATAAGATATTTATTTATACTTATTTTGGCTTAGCTCTTTGTTTTTACTCGTCTTTGTGGCGTTAGTTTGGATGTGTCTTTCTCAGGGGTTTTTTACTTACATTCAACGCCCTGCTTAGGGACTAGGTCAGTTTTCCCACTTATTATTTGAAACCCTCAGAAGATCAGGTGATTGTTTTTACACTAAACATTCATAAGCCTTTATTTGTGATTTATTTTGAAAAGAATCAGAGAACAAAATTAAATTTTTATCGAACCCAACAAAATATGATTCATAGGTTAAAAATCATGTGGAAAATGGACAAAGGATAAAGAACAAGAGGAGTTAGCAGCATAATCTGAAGAGACTGAAGAAAATATATTTTATTTGTAGGTGAGATGCCCCCTCCTATGAAGAGTCATAATCTGGCTAATCTTCTTAATATAATAACTGTGCGATTCTCAAACCATGTCTCTCTTTGACAAGATGGGCAAGCTCAGATAGAGCTTAAACTTCTCACCCTCAAGTCAGAGGCTTAGGGTTCACGTTCAGTCTCCAACTTGAATCCTTTATGGTTTTGAATGGCAGTGTGTTTTTCTTAAGGTCTTGTGCGTGTGTGTTCTTTCCTTGCTAGAGCTCTGGAAAGGGGCGTAGTCCTTATGTGCTCCTCCTACCAGGTGGGGAGGCTTGGGTTTTGCACGCTCTGGCTTCCGTGGGGCATTTGTGAGCTGCCTGATGTATTTGACACCAGTGCGACAGCAAAGAAGTGTGTGAACTGAGCAGTGTGTGGTAGGGCCCAGCTGTGTGGATTTACCTGTATGTCAGACCAAGGAGCAGCAGTTAGCCAGACCTGACAGTCAAACACCGAGTACCTTCTACCTCCACTCCAGAGAGCATTTTAATGTTCTGTGTGTTTACTGACTAGTTGGCATTTGACACAAAAGAAGTTGTCAGAGCTGGGCTGTTTTTTATTTTTCCCCTCTTCACTCTTTAGTGCGCTGGTCTATGAGAGTTTCCTCCAATACACACTGCATATTACAAAGATACCCATTTTCCAAAACAAAGTAAAGAATCATGGCATCTGCATTTTTATACTGAATTTTACATTAAGAATTAGTAAGTAATATGTTTGAGTTAATAATAGGTAATGTGTTGAATAGGCAATCTGTTGACCTTGTTTAAAAATGAAAACAGTACACCTGGAATGTTTTGAATAGCATTGTTTCACCCATACCCCTTTCCAGTCATTTCTCACCTCTACCTCATAGGCAACCATGGTGGTCACATATCTTTTATGTTTCTGTATGCACATGGAAGCAAATAGCCTGTCTTTTGTCTTCTGCTTCCTGAGATATTCTGGAGAGCTCTTCCTTTTGCTAAGGGAAACTTTCTTATTCTTGTTAACCGTTGCAGTGTATCTCATTGTACATTGGATGTACCATGGTTTATTTTGCTATTCTCTGTGGATGGACACTTGCATTGTCTCTAATCTTTTTGTTGAGTTGAGATTACATTTACATACCAAAATACTCATTCTTTTAAAGTGTACAATTAAGTGTTTCTAGTATGTTTCCAAGCTTTATTCCTACAAATAGTGCTCCAGTGGGTAAAACTTGCACACACATTCTCCTGAACATCGTACAAGTATATCCAAAGAAAAAAATCCTCAGAGGCGGGATTTCTGAGCCAATGGGCAAACACATTTATATTTGGATAGGAATTGTTGGTTGCTGTCCGTTGGTATTGTACTAATTTGCAGTCTAGAGTATGAGAGGACTTTTTCTCCATAGTCGTGCTCGGAGTGACTTTGCCTTTTTATAAAGCAATTTTAATTCTTAAGAACTATGTGTAGAGTTCATGAACTACCAGTTTAATCTAATCTTAATTCCTGATTGAGTTCACCAAGGTGGAGATGACCCAAAAGTTCTTTTTAAGTCCATAAATATTATTGTTTATAATTGATCTCATTAGTTAATTGGTAAAATTGTAGGTAGGCTGTGAATGTTGATACACAGAATAGATTACAGATGTGTGGTCTTAAGTGGAGTGACTTCTGGATCCGCATTCTTGCCTGCCATGTAGATATAATGTTGCTCACAGTATCAAAATTAACATTTCCAGTGGAAAGAGACCATTTATATTCTCCTTGTTCTATAGTAGGGACATTCCTGTAGAATTTTATCCTTTTGATACAGCTTTCCAAGTTCTAATGTTTTATTGCCTGTCTGATACACTGGACTTCAACTGAGCTGGGGAGTAGGTTGTTTTTGTAATGATATAGCTTAAGTATTAATTATAAATAGAATTTCAGCCTCCAGTGATGCCTGTTGATCTATGGAACAGGTCTCTTGCTCTTTATTCTCATTAAGGTAGAGGCTTTAATTCCTTAGAGGTGTTGACCTTTGTGATCCTTTTTATACACAGATTAGCCTTATAGACTTGCCTGAAGAGATCTTCAGGTGGTATGTATGTATGTATTTATTTATTTATTTTAAGGTGGTATTTATAAGGCGTAGCCATTTCAAGTTTTGAGTTTTCATGTCCATTTGAATTATTCAAGGATTTTAATAATGGGTTAAATTCTGTGAGGGGGCATTTAAGTATCCTGCCTATAAAAAGGACTGGTAAAAGATTCATAGGAAAATACAGGCTTTCCTGAGGTCGCAGTGACAATTGCGATATAGTTTTGATTAAATTTATGATGAAGTGTATAAATACATAAGTATATGCATGAAAATATCATTAGTTCTTTCTATGCCCCAAATAATAGCTGATGTTGAAAACAGATAGGCCACTTAACCAATGAATTTATCTAAACAAATGGTTTCTGTTTGTATTCTAGATTCTTCATAAAGGAAAACTATTAGTAGTTTAACTTTTAAGCCAGTCTTACCATTATAGATGAGAAAATACCTTGAGTCCAAGCAGGAAGCTTTTATTAAATAAATAGATCAGACTTTTGTATGAGTAAACTTGAGTGTTTTGCCTCTCTTAGATCAACAGGTTGTTATATTTCTATTCCTTTTTTCTTTATTTACTTGGGATAATTTGCAGAAAGATACAGAAAGATTTAAGTTTGGCCCAAAGGGTGTTTTCTCTGGACTACTCTGTGATAGGTCTGTGAAAGAAGGCTTCTTTATTGGGGTAGGAGAGGGTGATAGGTTCCCTGTGTCTGGTTGAGCAGGTTGCTGACTGCATATAAAGACAGTGTCCACTGGAGCAGGTGGGGGCTAAATTCCAGTTTGTGTTCCTCAAGCCATGCCCCATGGAACAGGGCTACAATGAACCACAGCAAGGCATACCATTTTGTTATTCTTACAAAGGTGTTGATAACAGCCTGAATATGTGTCTTTTTATTTCTTTTATTTGAAAATCAGTTGTTTCCACCTTTTCTGTTTTTTCTCCTTTTGAGAAATTTTCTGTGGTATATAGATAATTCCTCTATGAGTGTGTGTCTTTATACACACACACACACACACACACACACACACATAATGCCATTTATATGCCAGGTGGACTCTCACTCTCTGTCTGTCGTGAGTACACACACACATACACACCCACACCCACACACAGACACACCCACATGTGTTAGGTATTCTTTGAAAAAAAATCCCTCCGAAGGAGGACATCACCTTATATATATTCGATTCTTTATGAAATAACTTCATAATATGGGGTCCTCTCTTAGTCACTTTGTTTGAACAGCATGGTACTGTTCTGGAAGACTTGGAAATGGCCTCAGACAGTGCTAGCTGTGGATGCTTGAAAACGTTTCTTCATAAAATTAGAAAAGAAAAGAAGCGAAAATGCTTAACACGGATTTAGTACTTATTCTAGAAATGAAAGATCACGTTAAAAAAGTAACATGTAAGTGGATACTGTATCAAATAAACATTTATAGGATGAATAAATCTTCCAAATATCCTGACATTGTGTAAATGGATACTGTGGTTTGATTTGCTGTCTCCAGTGTTCGTGTGATAGAAGGATTCAGAAACTGCTGTGTCTCAAGCAGACTATACAGAAAGGAAGGTTTGCTCTGGAAAACTGTATAAGGTTTCTCAAAGAGTAATTCTAGTGATGAAAAAGACCCTGGTGTCAAAGAAACATGTCAAGATTGGTGAATCAAATTGTTCATGGCATATGAGAGTGAATAAAACCATTATTTCTGAATTAATGCTTTTATACAATGTGTAATTTAAATGTATATAATTAAATTAATACATTTTATAATAGGCATTTGGCTAATTTCTATCTCTAAAAGTTTCTACATTCAGGTTGGCTAAGTTTGTCTTGATACTGTCTTACGGGAAAAATTAGGGATTGTCTTACATTCTGATGACTTTATATTCAGTCACCTATATTCATTATTATTTCTAAACAGAAACTGAGGCTCTTGGAAGAGCTCGAAGATACGTGGCTTCCTTATCTGACCCCCAAGGATGATGAATTCTATCAGCAGGTAAGATCTTTTCCTATTTGTATCAATTTGTATTGATTTGTTGTGATCTGTGAAACCGCTGTGGTCTGGAGAGGTTAAATGAGAATGAAATGATCTGATTTGGTCTTCCAGTTCACTCCTCATCACCCACAGAACATCCCAGTTTCTTCCGATCTGTTTTCTGCTGTAAACTTAGGGCTTTGGCACAGTAGACTGCTTTCTTTGTCCCCAAACGTTCCATGCTTGCTTTTACTTCCTTGCCTCTGCTCCATTCTGTTTGTTTTGCATAGAATATCCTTTTGCCCCTTCCCTCATTGCCAGATGGCTAAGACTTCACTTACACATTACCTTCTTTGTGAAAGTTTCCTTGACTTACTTTACCTAAAGTAGAATCGGCCGCACTCTCTTCTGTGCTACTTGGACCTTGTAAATACCTCTGTCATGCCTATCACGTTGTATTGCAGTTATGGCATTCCATGTCTTTTTCCCTGAAGTAGTGGTAAAAACCTCAACAAACTGATTGTAGCAAAAGGGGAATTTATTGACTTAGATTAGACTAAGATAGATGGACTTAGATATCTAGGAGTATAGGGCTGAATCCAACTTCTCAAAGGATGTCATCTAGATCCCTGCTTTTCTCTGTGTTGTGGTTTGGCTCTCCCCTGTGTGACTCCATGCTGGTTAGGCTCTGACCTGCTAGCGTACCTAGGAGGAGTCTGACAGCCCAAGGGGTATGTGGTTTTAAGCACATGGGATCTTAGAAGAAGGTAGCCATTTCTTTTTTTCTGGTTCCATCTGATTTTCCTGGGAGTGATCTTTGGTTAGAATCCTGTGCCAGTCATTGCGTTCCTGAACCAGTCATTGCGTTCAGGAGTGTGAGATACTCCCATTTGCCCAGCCTCGTTCATGCACCCCCTTGTGGAGCTAAGTTCAGGTAGGACCATGTCCACTCAAACTGCATGGACTGTGAGTTGGATATGGATGATTCCCCACAGGGAAATTGGAGTCCTGTTCCCAAGGAGTGAGAGGAAGTCATGTTGGGTGGGCACTAATAGTCCACATTCATCTATTCTTTCCTACCAAAATGTAAGCTCTTGGGGATAAGAATTGGGCCTCTCATCTTTGTTTTTCCAGCACCTAGCAGGCACTTGTATATGATGATTCTTGGTAACCGTGGGAGGGAGACAGGAAAGAAGAGGTTTATCCATCTAGCATTCAGGTCCCTGGACCTCCAGTTCACTCTCAGTTCCAGGACGTGTCCTTCACTGGATCAGTCCTCTTCTGGATTGCTCTAGTTTCTCCTTTTTGTCCCTCTTTCTTTTTTTTTTTTTTTTTTAAAGATTTTATTTATTTATCTGTTAGAGAGAGAGAGAGCATGAGCACAGGCAGACAGAGTGGCAGGCAGAGGCAGAGGGAGAAGCAGGCTCCCCGCTGAGCAAGGAGCCCGATGTGGGACTTGATCCCAGGACGCTGGGATCATGACCCGAGCCGAAGGCAGCCGCTTAACCAACTGAGCCACCCAGGTGTCCCTGTCCCTCTTTCTTAATCCTTAGAGCTATAGCCCATTTTCCAACCAAGACATAAATCTGACCATGTCACCCCCCTGCTTCAAACCTGGTAGTGGCTGCTCCTTGCCTGGCTCTTGCCTTTCTAGTCTTATGTCCCCAACTCTTTCATCTTGTTACCTGCACTGGTCTTTGGCAGGAGCTCAGACTAGCCAGGCAGTCTCCTGTTTTGGGCCTTCATGCTATATCCTCTGCTGCCTCGCCTCCTCCCTCCCTTGGTGAACTTCTGTTACCCGTGAGCAATGTGTCACCTCTTGTAGGATGTCCCTGACACCTCCGCAGTGTGGAGACTTGTCTCTGCTTCCTCTTGTGTGTACCCGTAGCACTTTACATGCGCCTTTATTATCTCTGTGATTTTATTTTTACGCTTGTCTCCCCCATGCTCTGTGCTTTGTTTAGTGCCTGGCAGGTAGGTGGCTGGTGGGTGTTGCATTAATTTCCTTGGATGGGCGCGTGAATTAATGCATTCATTTGTTAATTTAAAAACCAAGTTATGTAATAATGTTTTGTATGCTTTTAATTTTGTTTTTATACACACAGCCCTCTTCCCCAGGGAGGTGGCATCGGGCAAGGTTTGCAGGGTATATACAGAAATGTTGTATGCCAGCATGGTAGGGTTTTATCTTTTGAGCTTTTCTGTTTTTCCAAATTGTCTTAAATGAACATGTATTCTTGGAAGTCAGAAAAACAAAACAAAAACAGTTATCCAAAGGACCCTTAAAACAAATAAACCCACAAAATACGATCAGTTCTTAAATCCTTATTACTGTTTTTATAGATAGAAGCCATCTGGTACATGGTTACGCTCACTGTTGTAAAGCAGCTTCTGAGCCTTTCGGCTTTGGTAGGGTGCAAGTAGTGGTAGTACATGAAGAATTAAACACAGAGGTTATCAGCCACCGTGCACAGAGCCAGTCCTACACCGGGGGATAGAAGCAAACTCAAAGGCAAACAACAACTATCAAGGCTGTTCTTTTACCTTTCCAAGACCCACAACAAGTCTGATACCAATATCTAATCACCTTAAGTGCACCTTGTAATAAGGGTTAGTGTTTCAAGAGACTTTTAGTAAAGGAAATCTATTCTCTTGAAAGACAAAGTGAAAATACTTTTTTAATAACATGAATAAATAGAAAGTTTGGATTGACTTGGGGTCCCTTAAACAGGCCCTGGCCACAGGAATGCCCATCCAGCTGCCAGTCACAAAAGCAAGACTTTTTCGCAGCTTCCTTGTTGGGTGTGTGTGTTGACCCTTACAGTGTGGAGTTCAGTCCTCACAACTCGCTTGTGCATTTATGCCACAAATGTTCATTCTTAAGCTTTCAGTGTTCGAGGTAGGTATGATCTTCCTCTTCTTAGAAATTTCTCTTTAGATCCACACAAAGCTCTGTATCTGAGCAGCAGAGGTGGTCCAAGCCCACATTTATCAGACTCTGAAGGCCTCTGCTCTTTCTGCTCCGTTGTGTGCCTCCCAGAATACCGTGCTCAAATTCAGAACACCTTCAGAGACATTTTTTGGTTTCATCTGATAAGACCGTGGAGAAAAAATGAAACAACAACAAAAAACCCAAAGTAGAAAAGTAGAGAGAAACTTCTGTAGGTTCACCACAGAGCACAAAGAAATGAGGAACTACATAGTCCCAACACAAACCCGGGCTTCCAGATCTATGAGTGCTACCTCTCGTATCCAGAGAAAACGCCTCTCTCCTCAGTATGCCCCCTTGCTTTCGATTACTGTGTACTTTCCATGCACTGTGTTGTTTTTGTAGATGTTTGTAAGAAGAATGTTCTGGACGTAGGAAAGAGCAGAGCCCCAGAGGTATCTGAGGAGGCGCCCCCAAGGCCAACACGCCTGGAGCAAAGTGAGAGAGTTGAGAACAGAAGGGATGAGGTCAGAGAGCCATGGCCCGATGATAATGGGAACTTGCTGTCTTTGCCTAGTATGTCGGCTGTGACTCTGAATGACATGAGAAGCTGTGAGAGGGTTTGGAACACATGTGTGACAAGTTCTGAGTCACATTTTGGTGAGGATCCATTTTCTAGGATCTCCTGCTGTCCATTCTCTTCTCCAGGGGCAACCTTCCTTGTGCTGTTTACCAAACAAGAAATCCTGCTGTCCTCCCCTTCCATTGCTTCTTCCCTCATTCAGGTGCCGGGCCCTGGCAGGTCTGCCTTTTCATAAGCCCTCAGAGTGTTTCTTCTTTTCATCCAGGCCATTTATCATCTTAGACCAGCACAGTTTTCCTGTTCTACCTGGTGGTCCTTGTGCCCTCTCCATTACCATCAATATTGTGTTCCTCTTAATATGTCTGACTTGTCGGGGCGCCTGGGTGGCTCAGTGGGTTAAAGCCTCTGCCTTCGGCTCAGGTCATGATCCCAGGGTCCTGGGATCGAGCCCCACATCTGGGCTCTCTGCTCAGCAGGGAGCCTGCTTCCTTCTCTCTCTCTCTCTCTCTGCCTGCCTCTCTGCCTACTTGTAATCTCTCTCTGTCAAATAAATAAATAAGATCTTTAAAAAAAAAATATGTCTGACTTGTCACTCCTTACTTTACAAAGTTTGCTCAGTCCCTCTTCCTGTAAGGTAGAGTTCACCCTCCTCAACATGTCCTCTAAGGCCACTGACCATGTGACCCCAGACTACCTCTCTGTCTCATCTCTACCCGTTGCCTAACATGGAGAGTGACCGTGGACTATCCTGCGGAATTTCTTGCCGCATCCTGGGTCTGCCCCGACCTTTCATCCTTCCATGCCTTTGGGCATGTTATTGCCTGGGCGTGGAGCACCCTTGTCCCCTCTTCTGTCTGGCCAGCATCTACTCACCCCTGAAGACATTGCTGATATATGACCACTTTGGTGAAGATACTGGCAAATGCCACCTGTTTTATTTTCAGAATATATTCAACATGCAGCCACCTCCCTGCACCTCCGGCATCTACCCCGTGGCCAGAGCTCCCGTCGTCTCTTCCTGAGATGTTTGCAAAGCCTTCTGTCTGTTTCCCCACAGTGTCTCTCGCAGTGCTCTTTCTGAAACCTCCATCAGCTCATTCTTCTTTCTTGCTCAGAGGGCTTCCCATCATGTTCAGAGTAAAAGCCGAGGACTTCCGTTTACGCACAAAGCACAGGAAGAGCTGGTTCCCCACTGCTTCTCCCAGCTCACTCCCTGCCTCTGCTGCCCCTCCTCTCACCACCCTGAGCAGCAGGCAAGCACACTGCTGCCCCCCCCACCCCCTGGTCCTTTGCCCTGAATGTTCCCTTTGCCTGGGACTCTCTTTTCCCCTGCCCAAGGTATCCGCGGGGCTTTTGTATCCTCATTTCTTGCATTTCTCTGCTCGGATGTCACTTTATCAAAGGCCCTCTCCGACTAGCCCGTGTGAAGCGGAAACATTCACCGCTGGCATTCTTATCCTACCTAACTGGGATTTCTTATATTCCATAACCCTTATCACAATCTAAAGA